ATCTGAGCCTGAATATGTTTTAGCGAAATGCGGGAAGTGTAATCATCATCAGGGAAAATATAAGAGAACATTTTGTACCACGGTCTGCCCCTGATGTGTACCTAATGTTCCGTACGGGGATTTGGCTACATGTTCATCAACACATAGCATCAACCGATAAAATATTTTCTTAAATTATTATCAATTCTTTTTCCCCCTTTCTTTCTTAGTTTTCTCTTTTGGGGAGGGGAGGGAGAGATGGTAGTATTTTCCAGTTTGAAGGAACAGGACTTCAAAATGATAACACAAACATTGGAGTTGATGAAGAACTGACAAAGATATGGCGTAGCGACGAAAAACGTCTTAGAGAACTATGAGCCTTTCAGTTGATAGAATCACTAACTCCAATTTCTATATTTTTGAGAAAAGTCATTTTAGAGATATTTCTTTCTTCTCTTCTTCTATATGGGCGCTACAACTCATCGCTGAGTCTTGGCCTCCTCACTGATATTTCTAGAAAGAAAAAAAATATCTGCGTCCTGAATATTTATCACTCAGTTCTCTATTGGTTTATTATTTTCAATAAACAACCATTTTGAGCGACCGAAAAATTCAAAAACTTAACTCCCTCTCAAAATATGAGGTTTCACGTTTCACGAGACGTAGAATTCGAAAATCGAATAAAAATTTTTTTGTCCGTCCGCCGTCCTCGCATTTTCTCAGAAACTACTGGACCGATCTCTTTCTAAATTGGATATAAAATCAGAGGTCATCGAGGATGATCCTCCTTCAAAATGGCGGCCGAAAAACCTGCGTTGCTATATACTGTAGCTCCTAAACGAACGTACCGATTTCAATGAAACTAAGCTAAAGTCATTTTCTCGACGCCCTTTAAATTTATTTATATAACATACTTCAACGAAAAGAAGCTGGGAAAAAAGTTACAAGGGATGGTAAAATGAAATTCCGAATAACTCAAACAGTTTACACTTTTTTGTAGGCATTGTATATGGTTTTTTAAAAGTTTACGAAATTTCCTAAAAAAAAAAAAAATCGTTAAAATCGGACTATTAGGAGCATAGATATGCTCTCCGGTTTTTATTTGTTTATTTGTTCAACTTCAAATGTTATATCCTTTGTTTGGTTTTTAAATTTTGAATGTATTACTGAAGTAATGCTTTTTTTTTTTTCTTTGTAACTAGGAAGGTAATGTTACTTTAGATGTATTATTGTTTGGAAATAATAAACTATTGTGAAATAATTTGCAGCGTTTTTTAGTACTGCGATCACCTACTCTGGAATAAACTTACTCATTGTCTATACAGATATAAATTTTCTTAGTGATATTTCTAGTAAGAAATAATATTCCAGAGTAAGTGATTTCAGTATTAAAATATAGAACCGGATGATAAATATTCAGGACGCAGTCATTACAAAGTTTTTATTGATGACGATGTTTCTATCCAAATATGTGGGTGATCATCAGGGCGTGTTTCAAACACTGAAGGTATTCAAGCATTTAACTATATAAGATAAAATATAATAAAAGATAAAAATACCTTCAGTACTCGAAACACGCCCTGATGATGACCCACATATTTGGATTGAAACGTCGTCATCAATAAAAACTTTGTAATGACTGAATATTTATCACCCATGATATGTAGAACAGCCGATAAACTTCCTTCATTAAAATATAGAACTGTGAATAACATGATTCTTACTTGACTTAATTTTGCCATTAAAATTTACATCAATATTAATTATTATTAATTATCTAACTTCCGATCTTTTGGTCTGAAAATACTTTTTTCCTCAGAGACATTTATTTTCTACAACAAGGCTACCTATTCGGGATTCCGAACACGCTAAAAGGTACTTAACCTGACAAATACCTAACCAGCCCTTACTCTAAATACAGGGTGACCAGAATTTATGTCTCTTCTTTAAAACGACAACTGACTAAAAATAACAAGGTACTTAATAATTTTTTTTTTTAATAACTCTCCTATATTTAGAGTAATATTTATCATTTTCCAACATCAATATTGTAGAGTTCAAAAATTCGACTCAATATTTTTTTAAACCAACTATAACTTTGGTTTAAGCTTCAGTTTTTGACACTATAATATATACTAATAGACATGTCAGATATTAAAAAAATAAATTTTAAAATACTGGAAAACTGCAATGAACATGGCGTGACAACAAATCCTTCTCCTACATTTAAGAGTATTAGCAACGGAATAAATGAATTCTTTAAAAAAGTAAATAATAACAACAATTAACATTATATTTGTAAAATAATATTAATAATATTTTCAAGTAAATATAGCTAGCGTACTTATCCACTTAATAAAGTTGTATATATGTAATGAATATAATAGTTCTGACATTTCACAAACTACAGGGAACCCAATTATCTAACTAAACTAACAGCAAAATTAGCTTTTTATATATATATATATATATATATATATATATTTTTTTATTTCCCTTGTTACTCTAGATGAAAAACATCAAAAACGAAAAACAAAAACACTTTCATAGGGACACAACCATTTTGATATTTGTTTTTCCCTTAGTTTATGAAATGCCTAAAATCACATTAAAGTGTTCAACGAGAAAGAAAAAAAAAAGGTAAGAAGATGAAATCGGTATTTGAAAATAAGCTAGACGATGGACAACTAATTATTTAAGAAATAAAATAAAAATAAGAATCTTATTAAGTAGTATAGAACCATAATATATTAACAAAAATGGATTGCATTTCATAAAATTTAATTGACGAACATAAGAAATGTATTTTAGACTTGAAACTGGACCAAAGAGTCCGAAACTTCGTCAGATTATTTGTGAACGAAAAATTAATAAATTAATTTTAATAAAAGGGTTTGAAATAGTTCTTAATGAAAGTATATAAGTATTTGAAAATTAATGTACCCTTTTAAAAAATAATATTAGGAAAAATATGAGAAAAAAAGGAGTTTATCGTACAATTTTAATGTTAAAAGGAAAAAAAAAATATGTTCACTTAACTGCAATAAATAAAAAATATTATTGAATATTAAATAGTTGACCGTTGCACTATAAAGGAAGGAGATGGTCCGTGGTGGCTGTCATAAATAGGCTAAATAGTGGCAAAACTATTTTATTAAAAGCCAACGTTTGGAACCGACTTAGCAGGTCTTCTTCAGGGCTAGAACGGACAAGATACAAAAAGATATAGAGAATTGTGAAAGTTACAAAATATTTAGACAAAAAAAATATATATATATAAATAATGTGAATAAGCTTATTAAAATTATAAACAGTAAGTACATTAAAATTTAAACAGAGTAAGCTAAGTAACAAGATCCTAAACTGAAGTAAATAGATAGTAACAATTGCTGTAGTGTAATACAGTAGTGTAATACTTCTACAGATCTACAGAAGAGATTGAAAGAAAAGGAAAAAGGATATAATATGAAATATAAGACTTAAAGACTTTTAATAAAATAGTTTTGCCACTATTTAGCCTATTTATGACCGTCACAACGGACCATCTCCTTCCTTTTTTTTTTAATTTATTTATATGATATTTACAACTGTATACAAAAAATACATCAGGTAAATTCGCACATGGCTATAATGACATGAAACACATGTTGAGAAACTACCCATTGGTAGCACTTTAATCCTTCCTTTAAAAAATATTATGTACCTGTTTTTACCTGAATAGAAAAAAAAAATAATATCGATGTTCTCAGCTTGAATCAACTCAATTTTATATAAAAATTGCACTAATCAGATAACTAATTTAGTATATTTAGGAACAATATCTTTAACTTTGAATATAAATATCTCCCTCTCTTCTTTTTCTTGGGTCATTTTCTTTTTCTTTTTTTTTTTTTTTTTACATCAATTTATATAATTTTCATACCTAACTAATGTTAACACTAATCTTAAAATATTGTAAAAACACTTTATATAGGCAATATTGCTACTGTTAATGCAAAAAGTCGTATGTTACAATTTTACATTTTTATTCTCTTTGAGCTAAAGATGACATTTTGCAATCTTCCACTGCTATAAGTAGTCTACTAAATAGGAAAATAGCAGAAGAAAGTAAACTGTAAAATTATAAACTATGAAATAAATAATCGGTTTTATGCCCTTTTGTCAAATAAAATTTTTACATATGATTTTTTGCACTAACAGAGGATATAACAGAAATGCCAAATGGCATGGAATTTGTAAAAAATAGACGACTCTATCATAGTTACTACGCAAGTGAAGAAACAAATACAAAAAAAAATGTTCTAGAATATCTTACAACTTCCTTAAAATGAGTCTATATAATTTAAAATTATGCTTATTAATTTTTTTTTTAAATTGAGTATCCATCAAAATTTAATAATTCATATATTTTTCGTGTTCTTGTATACAATTCACCTTCTGACCTATTTGGTTATAGAACTGTCATGGGGGATGGGTCTCGGATGTAGAGCGACTCCACTGAATGCTACTGTCACAAGCTGTCAAATTGTTATCAAACAACACGCAGCTCGGACGTGAGTAACGTCGTTCTGTAGTAACTGTTTAAAATTAAGCTCATAATTTTAAATAAATTTTTATTTAATTTTTTTTTTACATAGATATGTTATCAACAATTTGAAATTTTGGTCTGATTTTTCAAGAAGGTTGTAATACTCAATAAAATAAATTTAATGATGTTGTATTTGTATTTAGAATATTTTTTTTTTATTTTATATCATGTTGAATGATATATTTTGTATCAGTATTGGATTGTGTTATTTTTATAAGTAGTACAGAGTTAAATAGGGATTTTTATTGATACAATACGATTGAATCAAGGCATGCCAAAAATGTATTAGTAACGTATTTTGATGTATGTATTCGTATAAGTTTTCTTAGTTGCCCTTTCACACCAACCTTTGCCCTAATTAGTAAACTTGTTGACACTCCCCACCACACCCACCCCACTTGAAGGAGAAAACATGAAGACAAATTGTACTAACTTGCTTGTTGGTCGACATCCCGCCTGGCCGTACAGTCTCCAACATGCTTACATTAGCCGCTGATAAGTTAGGCCGATTGGTGATAGCTGTCTCTAATGATAAGGAGGCTAACCTGCCTCCTCGTACCTTCTCGACTCGATCAATCCCACTGCTCGGGCATGCGCAATCCCCCTAGTACCCGACTCCAACCTGTTCCACGGTGTCTGATAAGGCCCGATTAGCAGTTATCAGTATTCAGGACGTTATCATTGAGTCTTATAGAAGTATTAATCGTTATCTTATGGTTCTTACACATATAAGGTGTGGATGTCATAAACCAGTGGTATACTGTTTACAATCTATATCAACTGGAACAAGCAAACCTAGATCGGAGTAACTAACATTCAACAAAAATCTAAATAGAAATAGAAATAGAAAATAAACTTTATTCTGGGACGAAGTCCCCTCAGAATAACAATAATGAACAGTTACAAAAGAAAAAATACACATCTGGCCAAAAACTAAACTTTTTTTTTTTTATTTATACGATATTTACAACTGTATACAAAAAATATATCGAGTAAATTCGCACATGGATATAATGACATGAAACACATGTTGAGAAACTACCCATTGGTAGCACTCTAATAATATGTCTATATTAGATCACGTGGCCATCTTCTTTTCAGACGCCTCGGAGGGTTATCAGGAATTGAATAGGAAGCAAGGTTAGAAACAAGAGGGTTGGGATGGTTATGAAGTTTATTATGGAAGGACAGATATCTGGATTGGGCCAAATCTGATACATAAGGAAAATTAAGGTCATTATGGATGATTTTATTTGTAACAAAGTGAGGAGCATTGAGGATTTTACGAAGGATTTTGGATTGTAAGGATTGGATACGTGAGGAATTTGAAGGTATGGTGGAGCCCCATAGCTCAACTCCGTAAGTCCAAATAGGCCTTATTATGGTCATGTAAATTTGTTTTTATAATTAATTGGAAGGTTAGAGCGTTTGTCTAGTAAGAGATGAAGTAGTCGGAAACGTCGAGCTGTTTATTGTCGTTTCAGTCTGGTATGAGGATTGCAAGTTAGACGTTTGTCCAGATGGAGTCCTAGGTAACGGATTTGTTCAACAGGAATAAGTGAGGTGTTGTACCTAATAAACTAACCTAATAAAAATTCAAACGATATACACAACAACTTAAATAATAGTATGTAAACAATTAAAAAATAAAATCTCATCAACAATACTTATAATTGTACTGGAAATAATAACAAAAAGAAAAGGGGAAAAAAAAGGTATTACATGCACAGAAAGAAAGAGTACAACTAACAGAAAAGAAAAAATATTAAAAGTACATAAATAAAAAGTATTGACTTGTTATATTGGAACCCAAACAGCTAAAACATACAAAATATAGGCATAGATTAAAGATATATTAATGACAGGATGAGCAACGACACGATATAGCATTATCCCGGCATACGAGATAAAATAATAAGAAATAGGTAAATGCAATTAGGAAGGGGAATTAATTATTTTTATGAGAAAGCAATTGTGACAATAATAAACAAAAAATAAAATAAAATAATGTTGTATGAAAATAACAGAAAAAAAAATTATCTTTGTTACATAATTAATAATTAACCAGCGTCTGATTGGATTGTGAAGAGGAATTGGAATAAGAGATTTTTGAATGTGGATAAGGATGGTGCATACACATGAAACTTAACTTAAACAAATAAATAAACAAAAGGAAAAAATGTTTGGTAGCAAAACATATTTATATTTTAATCTTTAATATCCACAATGAATCCAAATCATCATTGACAAATTTTCAGGAGACGGCAAAAAACATTATTTTCTAAAATCATCGATTACATTAATAAAAACTAAATAACATTAAAACTTGAAAAGAGTCGGTTTTGGAATGAATTAAATTAAACTTCAAGGCCCGTTTTATTTTGAAGGAAAAATATCTGGTGTGTCCACTCACACGACTTTCCTACCTATTTCAGAAAAAAATTTATATCTTTCCATATGTTCATGAAGAAACCAAAAAATAATTGAGCTAGATACATTTTCCTGAAAATTTATCAAACATAAGATTTGAGTACGATTTATTTGATAAACTAAAGCAATATAAACCGGCTTAAGGTAGATCAGTGTAAAAATTTCAATACTTCCTAATATTGCTGATCAATAACTTTTTGCCATAGCTTAGTATTGTCAAACAATAATTTCTGTTAAAAATAGAAGAAATAGTGAAGATTGTGTAATGCGGGCAACAGATTTTCTTACTTTCACTTAGTCATCTTTATTCTCTCATTCACCCCTTTCTGACACCACGATATGAAACAGTAATCTTACATTGGAAATTGAATGTAACTTCGTTAATAGTTGTCCAAAATAAAAGATTTTTATATGGCTTTGTAGGGAATTTCATTACCTTTCAAAAGACAGGCTAAACGGCGTTTATTTTTTGTATTGGCATCAGTAGTCAAAAAAAACTCTACACAATCAAAAAAGAAGCAACAAAATCGGTTCAGTAGAAAATCTTGGCACAGACAGACAGACAGACCAATAGCTAAAAATATGTTTTTCGGACTCAGGGGGTAACGTATAGATCCGTCGAAAACCGCATGTCGGAAATTTGACCCGATTGCAATACTTTCCTTACCTAGTATCGGTAGGAAAGTAATAAGTTAAGCTGTATCATCGCTAATACTGGTTCGATTCCGATGATTCTTTTTTTGTTTTGTTGGAAATTTAATTACCTTTCAAAAGTTTTATTATAAATTTTACCGCATAATATATACTTAGGGAGTTAGGCCCCATAACATTTTTCTTTTCCTTATAACTTTTTTTCCTGATTTTTTTTTCGGGAATTTAGTCTATATACGAAAATTGATAGAACAATGATTAGAACGTTATAGGATAATTTTCTTTAGTATTTCGTTCCAACAAAAAGGTTAAGAAATCTTTCTATGACTTATTTTATTAAAATAATAATCAGAAATGCAAGTATCATGCAAAGGCCCAATTTTGGTAGTAAATCTATTTTCGTATCCCTTTTTTTATATGTAGTATCGTTTTGAAAAATAAACTTGCACTACCGGACCCATTGGGTGTTTTAAAATACAACACAAATGAGTTTTGAAAAACGCATGTCTGCTAGCATATAGCCGCTGGAATACAAAATGGCGGTCAGATGAATATAAATAGAGAGCGTATAGATATAAAAAGCTACCAACCCTTTAAATTTATAATATTTACTATCCTAATTCAATAAATGGTAGTCAATAACTCCATTCCTGGGCATTTCAAGCTGAACATTTGAATTTGCGAGTCAAAATCTTCTATTATTTTGTTGTTCTCCTTATATCAGTGAAACTATGAGTTATAGCGACAATAATCATCTACGTAAAATTAAGTTTGACAAAATTAGGAGTTGAATACATTATATTTATTTTTCACTCTTTTGTATAGTTTCCAAAATATCCGTCCACATAATTCATTAATATCCAATGCAGCGTTACCCAGACGGTGGTTTCATGGCGCAAGTTGTGTCATCAAAATTTTTGAGGAGAACACATTTCGATTGAGTTATGAATTTTCGAAATGAAAAGTTAAAACCATGGAAAAAGAAGAAAGCAAAGGAGAGACCTCTAAAAGTATCATTGCATATGAGCTAATATTTTTTAAATTCTACATTAGCAAGCACTGTTTTTAAGATGATAGCAATAAAATACCTTGGAAGAAGGGAGGGGGGGGGGCGGATGGGCATCTCTGAACCAATGTATGTTATAATGTATATTATATAAGGTAATATATATATATATGGAGCCCTTCTTAAGGATAAGACAGATCATATATAACGATCATATATATAACGATATATATATATATCAGACCGGATGATAATGTATAAATTATTTGAGAACATTCGGAGATTAGCGGTTTGAACAAATTAATATTTACATTTTTATTTATATACACAGGTTCTAATTTTAATTTACTGATAATGCTTAAGTTCGTCAAAAGCTACTGAAAAAAAAAATCTATAAGGGACTGAATAGTTTTGCCTTTGCCTTTTTACATAATACAATACATATGATATGGTATTATTTTACACTGTAGATCTCTTTTCCTACACTCAAAAACGAAGGAGTTTGATGAATGAGGATTCAAATAAAAGAGTTCATGTAGAAGAGACGAATCATAGTCACCTCCGAAATTTTAGGAGACAAAATTATAAATGAAAATAAACTTTATTTGTGGGTAACTCTAAAAGTATACATTTGAAAGATTACAAAGATTCATAAAAAAAAAAAAATAAATAATCACCTATATTGAACCGTTATTAGCATAGATAATATGGATCGCATGTTTTTGTTTATTATTATGAATGAACTAATGTGATTCGACAGAGAAAAAGAAAATTACAACCTCTATCCCATAATGCATTGCATTAACTTATTTTTGTATTATATTGTCAATTGTTCACTGACCAAGATACTGTGTGAATTATTCTATAATATAATTTTCATCAGCCGTGGATCGAGCTTGAAGCCGAAAGAACCTCTTGGGGCACACCCAGCCTCTATAAAGTGGTCACCTTTAGTTAAATAATTAGTTAAGGGGAAAATCTGGCGGTTGAGCGTAATCTCGACCCGATAACAGTACATCCTCACATGGTACAGAACCCAAGACCTTTCATGGATTGTTAGTACAGTTTTTGCTTTTTTTATGATATAATATAAATGTCTAATTTAATAGAACAAACAATTCTTATTTATAATGTTTGATTTTTTCATTTCTACCTACCAGATTAACTATACTTTAAAAAAAATAATAAAACAATAAAATACTATATATTCCAATTATTTTATTAATCCATATTTATAGGCAAAGTATGAGGAGGAAATGGAAATCGGTTAATACTTTATGCATGGCGATCTAACCCCCCTTCCTCCCCAATATTTGCTAAGGGTCGTCGTTTATGCAAAGCTTCTCTTGTAGTCCAACAGATAGCAGCTCTTACTGGAAAATGACAATTCTACTGAATCAACCCTTTAGTTATCAATTAATTATTTTATTCAAATATGCACAATATAAATTTAAATTAAAATGTGCAATGATACATTTCAAT